CCAATTTGAACGAGCTTACTCCGGATTGTTCTATGTTCAAAGCACTTGGAGGTCACAGTCAACTTACTGCTGACTGTCTAGTGAATGTGGATTCGGACTTGAAGAGACTGCCAAAGGAGTTGTTATTCGGGCTCAAACAGAAGTCGGACAATCGGCATATAGTCGCAGGAGCCTCGTCCAAAAAGTTCAATCTTGTTGTCCTCGATAGTTATTCTTCCTCCCCGTCATTGCCTACATCACCTGACCTTCTCCTCATCACTCAACTCCTCATCGCACTCCAATCTCTTACCCCGAATGGAGGTGGTACTCTCGTTGTTCGTCTCAGACACCCAGAAAGCGTCGTTACTGCAAAAATTTTATACATGCTCGACACGCTGTCTTCTACTGTCGCTGCTATCAAACCACGAGATATGCTTGGCGACTCGGAAGATCCTGGATGTTTCTATGCTATTGCGCAGAACGTCGGAGGCGGCCCACATGGATATAAGCTGCTTGAGGACATCGAGGAGTTGAGGAGGCTTTGGTGGAAGTTAATGATAAGATCTGCAAGCGAGAAGATTTTGTCCAAATCTGATACCACTGTTGTGGATATGGCTAGCCGCGAAGAGATTAAGGGTGAGACTGGTGAGATTGAAATTGGTGAGATTAGTGAAGATAGTCGAGAATCGCCAGCGGCTATGAATAGGGGAATGTGTGGACTGAAGGACGAAGACTTTGATTTCATTATATGTACCCATGAGTTGTACGGTTTGAGAGATGATTATCTTGCGCGCTTGACGCGGCTTGGGGAGCTGGTGTGGACGAGACAGCTTGAGATGATATTGATGGCGACGAGGAATAATCGCAAGTAGAGTTGTTGCTGGAAATAATGTATGTACATAGTGGTTCGTACCTGAATAGCGTAATGAGATTCATAAATATTGTATATATACAATACATGAAAACTGAAGTAACACATTTACAACTTTTGAATCCGTGGGAATTTGCACATGGCAGAAATGTACTTGCTCCCGCCTCCCGACTTCTGGAATGCTGGTTCGTATTGTCATTCACTTCTTTCGTGTGTTCCACAACGTTCAGCATGTTTGGGCAAAGCAAGTTTCCTCTTCTGCAGCAACCAATGTCCAGCAACCTTCCGTCGGTATAAATTGATTCTAGATTCAACCAGTGACCCGTCGGTATCACTCGCTAGTTTGACCAACCTTTTTCTGTGTTTTTGGTTTTTCCTTCCCGAACTTAAGAGCTCAAGGTAATGAAGACACATCTCGACTTGCACTGCACGAGCTACAACTTGTTTTGTATTTGTCATGAAACTGCACGGCCTTTAGTCGAAGCTTCGCCTGGGCATCAAAAATGCACCGTTCGGACGTCACTCTGGCCCTAGATTCAAGTGATCCGATATATAACACGGTAACGCAAGCGTTTCGGGAAACTTTATAAAGCTGGTAGGTTTCAGCCCGTTCCGTCTGTTCGTATTATTTCTTGGTTTTTTCCTTCTCTCAGAATCACCTTCGCTTTCGTCTTCTCTCTTTGCCTCTGTCTTAACCCCCGCTCCTATTCAAAAACGCGCTTTACATTGTCCTGTCACACATTGCCATTCATGGCTCGTTTAACCCTATTCATCGCTCTGCTCCCAAGTTTAGTGCTCGCTCAAGATCTGGGGGTTCCTACAGCATGGAGGGTAAGCTAGATTCCTCTGTTTGTGATATCGTTCGATGAATTATATTTTTTGTTCTATCTATCCACTCCGTCGTATAGGAATTTAACAATTCCCGCCTTTTTGCGGAACGGGTCTCGATCGCAAAATCCGCGATTGACACTATTCTTCCTCAACTCGATACGTCCACCGCCCAGTTCAATGGTGAAGTATCTCTTTCGTAAATTTTCTGGACGACAGCCCTCTAATTTTTATCACATAGGCATCGGCTACTGGCAATCAGCGAACGTATTCGCCTCCATGGCTAACTTTGACCATCTGGCTAACTCAACGACATACAAGGACCAAGTTATCGACGGACTTACAACGGCCTGGAAGTTATACACAAATTTCGACCTGAATCTGTACGTAGTTTTACTGTGTGGTCGCTGTTATTGCCTCTGAACTCAACCCATTTTCGTTTCTAGGGTGAGTAGCAGTATATCTCGAAACATCGGTAATTGAAGTAATACGGTATGGATATAGTACAATGACGATGCGATGTGTGTGCTTCATGTTTCCATACTCCAAGTAACATTAACGAATTAGTGTACAGGTGGTGGGCAACAGCTGCATACTACGCTCACAGAGCCTACGGGGTGAGTTTTCCAACACGTCCAAGCTATTCAACAATGCCCATTCGAGAAATAGGACGTAACCATGTTGTCAATGGCTGTTACGACTTGGAAACATGTTTCCAACTAGTATGTAATATATCTGTTCGTTGCACTATTGACTAATCTGTCTCTACTCAGTGTCGTCACCGCTGCAGATGCAGCATCTGGCACTCAACCTAACAAAGACTTCAAGATAGTTTCGACATGTTATGGAGGTATGTCGTATTCAAGGTTTTGTCGTCCGGAAGATTTCTGATGAGATATTCCGCGACGCAGAAACTATGGCAGGAGGAGTATTTTGGGTTCGTTTTCCATTTCCGGTAACGAGTTATATACTGGAAGCTGACTACAGTCATGAATTTGTAGCGTCCTACCAGTGATGATACAGGCATCAACTCAATCACTACTGGGTGAGTATTTGAAATACGGGTTTCCTAATGTCTAGCTGATCTTCTAAAATACAGATTGTACACTACGTACGTTCCAAGCTTGCAACACATCTCCTCATATCTGAACCACCTCTACTTTTGACATTATTAGGCTTTCCGCGTTCCTTGCTGAAACCACTGGTAACGCTACCTACACCAACGCAGCAATTCTCAGTGCCAAATGGATTCAGAACCTACAAATTAGCGACAGCGGGATCATCCTCGACGGTGTCAGCAGCGAAGATTGCACAAGAACAGCTGCATCTTGGTTATTCACGTACAATTCTGGCAAGTATCTTGAAGGATTGAGTGTTCTGAAGGATGTTACGGGTGCTGCTATCTGGAAGACACTGTGAGTTGCTACGTATCATCGGCTCGTCAATGTCTCACTAGTTTGGACGCTAACACAAAATCACAGAATGACCAATATCACTGCTGCTGCCGTCAAGTCTCCCGTCTGGCAGGGGAGCAATGGGATTATCACTGAGGGTGCTAGTAAGACGTCCAACAATGATGGTGTCGGATTCAAGGGTACGTATCTGAGCTTTTTGTCCTGAATGCAATGACTGACGTTGTGCCTACCTTCAATCTATCAGCTATCTTCATCCGAGGTCTCGACGAAGTCAGCGCACGGAGTTCTGACAATAGTAAACTTCAAATCCTTATCCATAGCTATAACGACGTTCAGGTATGTTATCAATATTCCTTCTCGAAGAATTTTTCCGAATTCTGACTCGTTTTTTTGAATCTATTCAGTACAACGCCCTCCTAGAACTCGCAGCAAATGGGACCTCGTACTCTCCCTCGTGGCCGGGACCCGCACAAGGATACACTACTTGGGGTCAAATGGCTGCTTTGGATGTGATGGTCACTGCTATCAATACCAATTCTCCGTGAATCTCTGCTACGTCGAGTGCTTCTAATACTCCGGGTACCTCCAGTGTTTCAAGTACTCAAAGTAGTTCTAGAACTCCGACTACCTCAAGTGCCGTGAGTGATTCAACTGATGCTCCTAGTGCTTCGAGCACCTCGAGACAAGCCCAGAGTAACAGCGCACGCCAAAATTTATCAATGTTGAGATTGGTTGTACAAGGGACTATGTTGAATTTTATTTATCTGTTTATTTATTTATTTTCTTGACTTTTTCTGAATTGCTAGTATGCATGACTGTCTTTACTGTACTGTCTGTGTCGTCTTAGTCTGTCTTTACTGTAATATTGATACCACAATTTAAATATTACAACCTCAACAACCCCAGGACATGGGTTAGTATAAAATCAGTCCCTGCATTGAACATGTATGTTCCATTATTGTAGAATTATGTATATTGTACAGTATATGGTAAACTGGTTCGGGAATCGGAGCTCGCCAGTAGGATTTATATCCTATCCTGTCCTAGCTAAAGGTGAATGGAATGTCCAAATGACAAAACTGCAATGTGAGCATGAAGAGCTTGAGGTAAACCTACCTTCAGTGTTTACAAATCTATGCACGGCACTCTCAGAGTTCACGGAGACTCCAAGAGCTTTTGCGTCTGTCGAGGTCGAGATACAAATCTAAAACAAGCTAGAGCCTTGGTGAGAGGCTGCGAGTCTGACTACCAGTCAAGATGTAAGGTAAGCCAAATATTGTGAAACTGTGAAACTACGATGAGTATTCCCTCAGAGGCGCACAAATGAGTGCAAACGACTCTATTGTAAATCTACCTGTGAAACTACAATAAGTATTCCTAGGTAGACATAAATAAATAAAGTTCTTTGAATATTGTAAACCACAAGGTACTCACCCTCAGATGCGCACGAATGAGTGCAAACGACTGAGGGGAAAATAAGTCGATCGGTACGTATAAATAAGGAGAAAAATATTCTGAAACGCGTCCGCTCGTCCGACTCGACGAGCGGAAGTATCCAAAACCCCGAAGAAACAAACTCAGAAAATCCTTATGACTGCCATCTGTGTCCATGTGGATGGTCATCGCCTTGCCTTCCGATCGGGGCTCCTAGTCTTTTCTCCTACAGTTCTCGACAGATATGTATTGTAAATGTAAGGTAGGATAAATGAACGCAATAGAGTGTACAGTGAACATCCATCAGTAGAATCTATCTATCCACACGATGGTGAATAAGTCGTTCTTTCGCTGGTGGCCAATCTATTTTGAACACCGCTAGACATAAGCTGCTTTCATAGCTTTCAGAGCTCCATTGCATCCTTACGCCATCGAAAAAAAAATCTTCACCCTTCACCCTGAAGGAATTCCAATGGACACACTGGGAATTGAACCCAGCACCCCCCGCAGGCAATAAATATTATGCTAAGCGGATGTGATAACCAACTACACCATGTGCCCATATAACGAAACGTTACACGGCTACTCTTCGACTACTCATTGTATATGACCACTACGTGCTATGCTTTATATCACTTTCTTCTAGTTGCATTCTACATATAAGGGATTTGTCTTTACACTGTGCGATTCCTACTTGGAAGGCCCCTCCAGCGCCTCCTCCAGCAACCTCCGCGCGCGCGTCGCACTTCCCCAAGAACTCTGGAAACCTGACCCGGAGTGACCATAATTATGGACCAGAGGACTTCGCAATACGGATTCGTTCGTGGAGTCAATCCACTCAGCCTCCAACCTCAGCCCGCCCTTCCGAGCAGGTCGAAACCCGCATCCGGCTTCGATTATGATTGGTTCGATAAGATTAAGGAAATCGGTGTCGCTGAGTTTGTCGAGAGCCTCGATAGAAGTAGTCATACTAGGAGACGTAGTATCGAGACCCGTGTTCGTGACAGGCTTTATTGCCATCGGATGCAACAGCTCAGGACAAAGTCTCACCGCTCTCCTCAGAATATCCAGCGTCGTCTCCGGACGCGGAGTGGGATGCGTGTCGTTGGGCGATTTGGTACCTCCTACGATGATCTGAACGCAGCGGCATATATGAGGACGCATCAAACAAAGAGATAATGGAGACAGGTGAGGGCATTTTAACAGTGAATTAAATAGAAAAAAACAGTGAAAACGGGACGAAAAAAAAGAATTGCAACTCACATTCCCACTCCGTCTCGGGATAATATACGTCCACAAATCCTCCTTGCCTTCTTTACCCTTACTACTTATCGTCCTCCCGAACTTGACCCAAGGTGCCCTGAGAAGAACCGTTTGACCTCTTAGAGGGTATAAAGCCTCGTCTTGGACGCCACGGAGACTGAGGGATCCGAGACCAGTGCAGTTCACGATGGCGTCGATTTCGAATTGCGGAGTTGAATTTAAGGGTTCAGAAGATTGTGCTTCACGCAACACACGCCGAACGTCTTTGATGTCCTCAACTCGCCCTCTAACTACCGTTCCTCCGTTCTTGGTGAATCGCTCGTAGAGATACTGAAGGTATACGGGCGGGTCGATGGTTAGTGTGTTGAATGATACGCCGGAGCGAACGTTTTGAGCAACGAGGGATAGTGGGGAAGATTGAAGAGTTGAGGATGAGAGAATCTTGAACTGCAAAGACGGGTAAATCGGAGTATGTAACTGAATGACAAACAGTAGATAAGCTCCTAAAGAACTCACATTAGGATACCAACTTAAATGATGCTTTTCCTCCCTGGTATCCTTATCGACAGGAATCTCCTCATGATAATACTCCACCTGCTCGATCCTCAGGAAACATTCTTCTGAATCGCTTCCCTGTTCGGAGAGATTCCACATTTTGCGGAAGGTTTCTTGATCGATGGATAGTTGTTCGGGGTGTTCAACGGAAGTGGAGGTACAGTTAGCGTCTGGTGCGGAGATTCCTGCATAGATGATCCATCAAATATACAAGGGCGATTTCATCAAGAATAAAGAATACCTACCAGTCCCTGTAGCATGAGAAACATGATGTGCACCGGCCCAGTGACTCGTGTACGCAATGGATTTTGGGTCGATAGATAGGTCCGAGGCGAGTATTGTTACCCTGAAGTTGTACTTTGAGGAAGATTCAAGAATAGATATGGCGGTTGTTAAGCCAATAACACCTTGATCGACGTGTATTGAGTTAATAGCAGAAGGAGATCATGGTTTTACTAGATAGGAAAAGAACGCACCAGCTCCCAGAACAACTACGTGTTTGGTATCCGAGTTGTCCCCAGTAGATTGACTAATTACGTTGTTGGCGTTACCGTTGGTTGTGACTGTCATGTTCATAGCAGAGTGTATGAGTTGCGAAATAACTGACGATACAGTGGAAAAATTCAGGCAAAATGTTGGAGAAATTTGAGGGCTTGACGATTATCGTCGAGACGTGGAAGACCTCGTTTACGTAGCCCTTCAGCTGTGGCGATAAGGATCACAACCATGTCAGCGATAAGCATGAGAATTATAATCTGATAAAAATATCTCATGACAGAACAGGGGCACGGAGTTACGATTTAGCAGAGCGCTTATTTTCCATCCTCGGACCGAGGTTGTTTGTATCAGTTCTGACAGGTTCTGCGCTCTGCAAGGGTCGGATGTAGGTTTTCCTCAACGTTTTGTTTTTCTCCCTAGGGTTGGTGCTCTCGCTATATCTTTAACGATGAGCAGCCGTTGACCTGTAGACTTGTCTACCCAGCAACTCATCATAAGAATCGTCAGATGATTGCGAGAACCTCCCTCTGGATGCGACGTCTCAAATGATTAGGTTCTAGTATCTACCCTTTTCAAACTCTTGTACGGACTGGGGTATATTCCACTCTCCAGCCTCATTCTCCCACCCACTTATGATGTGCGGTCCATACGGCATGGTATGGACATGCAAGACTTGGAAAGCAATTGTCTACTTGATCATCTAACAACATATCGAGACTAAAATACCCCTTAGGGTGAACCATTTCAATCTTTGAAAACATACGAAACACAGACTGTTATCAAGTCGCTCAGCTATACGAAGTTACAGGGAAGCTGTCGTACTCTGGTATCATTTGGGATTTCCCTGTTCTGAATCCGGCAGGCATACAGAGATTGGAGAAAACGAGGCGTATCCGAAGAGAATAACAGTAAAAGTTGCGCTTATCCGACAGTTTAAACCCAATCTCCACTATCATCTATAGATGGCGAAAGGCCCAAAGAGGAATAGGAAAGTGTTGTGCCTTCAATGGCTCGCATACGGCCCAACTACTGATCTTGTCTCTAGTTTCTGTAGACGTTTTTTCACTATATGTAAACATAATCCTGGTATGTTCATTCATGCGAAATGTCTGGTCGATAAAACACGTCTATCTGAGCATTCACGGGGTTTGCGGATGGGCTACCGCGACAGGTAACTCATTGGAGTTCCTTGTCCATTTCGTCAGTGCCCATGACCTTCCTTCATGCCGGAATCCTGATTCTAGTAAGTCCCAGAGTAATTCGGACATCCTGCATTATGGAGAGTCATGGTACCGGGTATGCCACAGGCTTCTATGCAACCACGTGTGTCCATAAAGAGCGCAAGACTCAAGGCATTACTTTCTTCATACTGCCCCCCCTCCCCCCTGCAGCAAAATGACATATGCCACTATCACCACTATCGCTCTCTTCCTTCTCCCTTTTACAGTTCTTTATCTATTACGCTGGGCTCGATCATCTCGTCAACATCCTCTTCCCCCAGGACCAAAGAAGCTTCCGATACTGGACAACTTGTTCCACATTCCGAATGGAAATAGAGTATTCATCTGGCTCGAGTATGCTGAAATGTGTATGAAATACAGTGAGTGCATATTTGTAGTACGCACTGCAACGTCTTATATGGTCTTTCATTAGAATCGGACATTATTCATCTGAGTGCTCTCGGAACTTCAATTGTCGTATTGAACTCCGCGAAGATAGTCAGCGATCTGTTGGAAAATCGATCCGCGATTTACTCGAGTCGACCTCCTGCTGTTATGTTGGGAGAACTCATGGGGTGAATTTCGTCCAGGCATTTCCGAGTTGTCGTTATTACTAGATGTTCTGAGTTGTAGATGGGGTTCCTCAGCTGTCTTTAGGCCGAACGATGATTTGTGGAAGGCACAGAGAAAGATCATGAATCAAGCTTTGCCTCCTAGTGACCCCCAGCGATTTCATCATAAAGAATTGAGTGCTTCTCATGATCTTCTCCGAGTTCTTTGGCATTCGGATGATGTTATGAAAAGTTTACAGACGTGAGTACCAATTGAACATTCCCATGTCACAGAGAGGTTTATGTATTGTTCTTTGAACTTAGATGGGCTGCGATGTTCATCATGGATATCACCTACGGTCTCAGTGGAGAAGAAGCAGAACCATATATACCTATGGGCATGGCAGCAGTGCAATCCATGGGTATTGGGGGAACACCTGGTGCATTTTTTGTAGATCAAATTCCTATCTGTGAGGAATACTGGTATCCGTCCCAAGTTCTTAAATGTCCTAATGCGTGATTTTAAAGTAAAATACATCCCTGAATGGTTCCCTGGAGCAAGTTTCAAGCGTAAAGCCAAGGAATGGTCCGATTTGCGTATTAAAATGACCGAATGTATCTTCAATGTTACGAAACACAAAGTCGTGAGTAGTTATCCTTCATCATGCTGGTACATGCATATTTTACTTACTTCGAACATTAGACAATGGGCACTGCTTCGCCATCCCTAGCCTCAGCTGCTCTTGAAGAGATGGACCATGACCAACACTTGGCGAGGCAGGAAGAGGTTATCAAGATAACTTCAGTCACGGCATTTTCAGGTGAATTAAGAATCATTTTTGTCCATGCCTGGCTGGCTCACAGTATGTATCGCTTCTGTGCGCAGGCGGCGCAGATACACCTGTCTCCATGTTAGGTAGGAAGTCAGATGCTGGCGATACCGTAGATTGATACAAGTCTATTTCCCTAGGAGAGTTCATTTTAGCCATGCTCGCCAACCCAGCAATCCAAGTCAAGGCTCATCATCAGCTTGATCGTATTCTCTCGCCGGGAGAATTACCGACCTTTCGCGATACCGCGTCTCTTCCGTATATCACAGCCATCGTTCGAGAAACATTGAGATACAGTCCAGCTGCACCACTCGGTGCGTTTTAGTTCAGAAACACAAGCTATCAATTGTAACTTGCTCGCTCTACATGACTGAATTTTTTTGTTGGCTCTTCAGCATTCCCACATCAACTCATTCAAGATGACATATATGCAGGATATTTCGTTCCCAAGAACTCCATCGTTTTGGCTAATGTTTGGTATTATCATATGCGCTCGAGGAGATATTCTTGTACTAACGTATCTTCATTTGAAGGTCAATTCTTCACAACGAAGAAGACTATCCCAAGCCACATTCATTCAACCCGTCGCGTTTCCTCAATGCAGAAGGAAAGATAAACCCCGAAATCAAAGATCCTGCTATAGC